ACAACGGGGGACCGCCCGGGGCTGGCAGGGGCACGGGATGGGGGATGTGACGTGGCCCCGCTGCCCACGCTCTCCCTCTAGCTTGACGCTCCCGGAGCTGAGCGGAGAGTTTCGCCCAACTGGGCCTGGCCTGTGGAAGTCAGCTGAACTGGGCTTGACCCCAGCTTTGTTATTTCTGTCCTCCAAACACATGGCGAATGATTTGGGATCCCAGGCTCTTTTCTTTGGCTCTTTGTTTTGTCCCCCGTGCACAAATGTCAGTGGGGACAGGCCTCACAGTTTCCACCGTGGGTTGCTGTTGCGCCTGGCGCGCAGGCGTTCGCTGCGTCGGCTCTCCAGACGTGCCTGCGCTGACGTATGTTTTTTCAGCATCGGGCTGATAAGGCTCAGGACTAGACAGAGAAGTATCCTGATCTCCCGCGCTTGGCTTCCTCGGGCCAGATTTGTCGTTGTGGTGAACGCTGGCTCCCTCAGTCCGAGTGCTTACCGCTCCACCTGCCACCATCCTGGTAGAGCGGCCCCAAATGTTGCCCGTCTTCTACCTGCCTTGAGCCCCCAGCTGGGCCTGTTTGCTGGAGAGCAGCCTGGAGCTCCTCCGGGCCCGTTTCGGAAATTTGGGTTTGAATGGACCTCAGGAGGCCATCTGGTCCACCCCCTGCTCAAAGAAGAGTTTCCTGGAGAACAACCTGAGTAGCAAAGCCTCTCCCTCGAGGGCCGTGGAGTGGCTTGCACGTACCTTGTTGGCATCAGCCAGGGGGTGGGAACGCGGGAGCTGCTCTCGCCCTGCTCGGCTCCTCGTCCTGTCTCTGACGCTGGCTTGTCCCACCGTGGAGCTGGGTTGGGATGCGCCGACCTGCCCAGAAGGAAATTCTCCCTGTCCCCATCAGCTTGTGCCCTGAAGCGTGAGTGCTGTACCCTGCCAGACCCTTTCCAGTGGCGCTCCGGATGGGCTCGTTATCCCGTTGTCCTGTCCTTGCCGAATGCATGCTGGCATCCGAGGGCTTCCCCAGGCTACCCCCTCCGTAGAAAGGGGTCTGTTACGTGCGTTTAGGTTTGCTGCCTGTTGGTTTTGCGCAACGCCGTCTTGTTCAAGGCAAGCACGAGAGCCTGGGCCTGAGGTGGGGGCTGGCACGGCCGGGTGCTTCCTTTCTGGCACTAGAAAGCTGCCCTTTCCTTCCCCATGCATACTGTGGGCAACCCCCCCAGACATCGCACAGAAATCAGGCTGGAAGGGACCTCGCAGTGGTCATCCAGTGCAGCCCCCTGCCTGGGGCAGGGTCATCCCTGTCCAAACCAAGGAAACGAGTGCTCTCCTCCGGTAGCGGGAAACCCCGCAGTGGGATGGAGGGAATCTCCAGGACCCGCGGGCCAAGGACCGTCCACAGCTTCTCTCTCCCCGTGGGCTTTCGTTAGGATGAGCCAAACCCTTGCTCTACGGGCTTTGCTACACGGGCTCGCCGTTCCTTGCTGCAGGGAAACCAGTGTCCTCGGGCAGTTGTAACCACCACCCCTCACTGGTGGTTTTCTGTGGACAGACAGCCACTTGGCATGGCTTCAGCCCCATGTGTCCTGCGGTCCGTGGCCTGACAGGACCCCTGCTCCTGGCGGCCTGCCTGCGCAGCCCCCCGCCACGTGATGCCCAGGGGCCGGCAGAGCAGGTTCGCACTCAGCACCAGACCTGCTGCCAGGGCGCACTGTCCTGATGCCAGAGCCCCTGCGCCCTGCGTCAGTGTTGGGGCCGTGCCAGCCGTTGCTGCTGGAGGACGGTGCCCTGGCCCAGGTGGCTGGGTGCGGGCTGAAGGGTCTCCCGGCATTTTGGAAAAGAGGGAGGAGATGGTTCTGCCAGAGCCGGGGGCTCCCCAATCCCAGCCCGGCCCCCTCCGACCGTCCTGAGGGCTTTATTTTGAAATCGGGGTCCTTTTTATTTGCCATCTGGGCCTTGTGACTGTGGGGTTTGTATCCCCCCTCTACAGCGCTGCGAGCTGGGAAATCCTGGTGCCAGACTGGGACAGCCGGGAGCCTCCCCGCAGGGCCGGGGTTTGAAGGGAGGTGCTGGGAGAGTCGCAGCCCAGGCTGCTGCTTCAGTTGTGTGGGGCCGCTGGGTTTCAGGGCCTCGCAGATGTTTGTGTTCAGCTTTCGGCCATAATCAAAACCAGCAATGCTGCTGTTGGACTTAGCTGCAGCTCCGGGACATTGCACTCGGGAGGAATTTGTCCTCGGTGACTCTTTTCCGAGGACTAAACAGCCCCGCCGCATTGAGACCAGGCAGGGAGCAAGCTCCGAGCCGTCCTGCCCTGCTCTTTGGCTTCCATGTTTCATGCACAACCACATCCCTTTGTCTGCCAGATTGTGCCCTAAGCCTTCAGGCAAACTTCAGCAGCAATCCTGGCTGATTAGCTGCGGAGCAAACGGAGGTGACTTGGGCTCAGGTCCGTCAAGATCGAAAGTTTGCTTGACTTGGGCTCAGGTCCTCCAAGAAGCAAAGGTTGCTTGTTGACATCTTTTATTGGACCGGCTGTGTCGTCAGGAGACAAGGTTTTGGGCACAAAGTGCCCTTCTTCAGGTCTGGGAAAGAAGCCTAAGCTAAATTCAAGGTAGAACAATGGCTTCTGTTTAACCTCATGGTGTTAATGAAGATAATCATGCAGAGAGGGGGGAGAAGGCAGCAAACCCATGGAGCTGGGAGTAGTTATCAGAGGGAGCCCAGAGCCAAATAAAAGGCAGTCAAAATTGGTCAGCCAAATTCCAGGGAAGAACAAGACCCTTCCAGGGTGCTTGGACCCTACCGCAGCTCCTCAAGGCACGTAGGTGCCCGCATCCCCTCGAAATCAGTGGGAAGTGGGAATGCTAGTACCTTGATGCAGATCGCACTGCAATGACACTTGAGGAAGGATGATCTTTCTGCCCTTAATGACCCATAAGCTGAATAGATGTGACATTGCGGGAGCTAAGGAGCACCAGTCATCCCGTTTTAGAGATGGAGAATTGATGCCTGGTGAAACTCTGCTCCATTAGGTCCTGGGGGCTGGAGCAGTGCAAGGAAACCGGGTGCTGGCAGAGCTCCAGGGCTGATCCTTTGCTTGCAGGGGTGTAAAGGAGAAAGTCTGTGGCTATTGGGGTGGCTTTCAGCCTACTGAGTTGTAGGGTCTCCAAAGGCAGCCATGTGAAGCCCTTTGTCTAGAGCTCAGCCCGACATGGTGCAGTGATGCGGTGCACGCGGGTTGTATGGATAGCAGCTGGTTCCTGGCTAGGGAGAGGTGCAGAATAAGCTGGGACTGCCATGAGGGGTTGGGGCACTAAAACTCCCCTTTAGCTGCTGTTATACAGGTACGACACTCGGGCACGGGCCAGGCTGCAGCAGCAGCAAATGAGCCATCTCCATTTGGGTGTTACCACTTCTGACCTTGTGTTACACCGGTGTGTATCTGGGGCAGCTCCGCCGAGGTCAGTAAGATGCGCCGCATATGAACGGGAGCAGAAACCCCCACAGTAACGATGCATCTTCCCCATTACCGAAATGGCCTGGATCAGGGTATTTAGCACCAGCCACAGGGAGTTCAGCAAGGCTTTGCCAGGGGATCTCTTAACTCAGCATGGCAGTGCTCTGCTTCCTGCCTCAGCTGGAGGCAGGCTCGAGGTTGCGAGGTTGTCTGCGGTGGCCCGTGTGTCATGGCTGATTCGCATGCCGTGAGGTTTCCCCCTGGCCATGCTATTCACATGGGACACTCGGAGGCTCGGGAGGACTCGGCAGACACCAGGCCAGAGGGAAAAGCAGTTGAGAGAGCGTGAGAGCAAGCTATGGGAGCTGAAATAGCTTGCTTGCAACAATAGCTCACCACTATCATCTGGCCCTTCTTGTAACCACAAATGTCCTGACCGGGGCTGCAGCTGGGCCCATTGCTCAGCTAAGATGATGACTCTGAAGCCACCAGCGTCGCTTCGTGTGTAACGCTAGCCTGTCTGGAGGCTGAGGACTAATCTGTGGCTGCACTGTGGGTCTGCATCTGACCCTGCGTGGCTTGCATGCGAGGGGTAGTTGTGCCTGGGGTTCCCAGACAGCGGGCATTCCTCAAGCTGGGATTGCTCTGGTTGGAACTGGTCCTTCTGGCCTGGTTTGAGGTGGGCTGTCTGCTCCAGGTCCACAAGGAGCTCATTAGCAACCCCGGGTGCAAACCAGAGTCAAACCTGCCCCTCGTGGATCTGCTAAGCCCAGAGTCGCTGCTAACAAATGCAGCGTGTGAGATGGCACCCGCCTCTCCTTGGCCTGCCGTCAGTCCCTAGCTGCTGTCCTGTGACAGTCACTGCAAACATGGGTTGCCAAATTTTGCTTCAATTTAGCTCCTGAGAAGTGGGGAAGGCACCTAGGAAATGTGGGCTCTTCTGTGAGTGCCTGGAGTTTGTCAGGTATTTTGTCATAACAAAGGATCTGGACAGGAAGCCTTTCTGCGGGGTAAGCCCTGCTGCTTGCACACTTCCCGTGCCCCCTCATTTATGTCTACCTTGCAGTGTGTGCAGATGCACACGTGTCTGATGGGGGAGGATCCCCTAGTTTGGTTGGAAACCCAGAATGCTTGCTGACCGGCAGACTTGGTGCCCAGGAAAATAATTCTCTCGGAGGCAAAACCTGGGGTCTCAATGGTTCGAAGGGCCAGCAGAGTTTATCGGGGGGAGATATTAACAGAAAATCTGAGCATGGTGGCTGTTGGCACGTTTTCTGGCTCAGGGAAAGGTATCCAGCTGCGGGTGGGAGTGTGCTGGGGTTGGTGCACGCCTGAGCAAAGTCCCCTGGTTCCCTGTAAAAGCCCTGCCTGTTCCCCCTACCTCGCAGGCTGTCGTTGTAGGGACACCCCCTGCTTTCCTTCCCTATTCCCACATGCAGTTGGTGCCCCCTTGTTTTTTATGCCACGAGGCCAGGGGTACGCCCCGCTCTGGGGCTGTCCTCCATGCCGTAGCACCCAGCCGGGCCCCTGGGCCTGGTATCCCCCATATGCTGTTAACCCCATTTCCTCCTGCAGCGCAACACGTTCCAGGCAGTGCTAGCCTACGACCATGCAGACGCCTATGCCCTCTTCCTGTACCCTGATGATGGGATTCAGTTCTTCAGCACTCGGCCCAAGGAGTCCTACCACATCCAGCTCCAGCTTCCAGCCAGGGTGGGCTTCAGCAGGGGGGAAACGGACGCCAGAAGAGAGAACCTGCACTACAGCGTGGCCAGCAGTGAGCAGGGCCTCAAGAACCTCTACCAGTAAGTCATGCATGCAGGCTTGATTTTAATGGTCCGTTTGTTGTCCACGAGGGCCCTTCCTCTAGCTCACTGACCTGGGTGTTTGTGAAGCCATTAGGGCCAAGAGCAGCTGGCTTCCTGGTGGAAAAAAAGCAGCCCTCTTCCTCTGGAGCTCTGTGCACAGAAACTCCTAACAATAGCCCTTCCTTGATGGATGGCTTCCTAGTCCCCACCTGCCTGCGTCCCTGCCGGCTGGCTGGATTGGCCGGTTGATACTAGGTGCCATGAAGCACTGGAAGCATGCAGACAAGCAGGCTGGATGGTTTGGGGGCTGGCACAAGCCCATCTGGACTTGCTGGCCAAACTCTGGTTGCTTTGGGAGGGAGAGACGTACTGGGCTCCATCAAGCTGGCTCTCGCTACGGGGATTTGCAAAGACATTATAGTTTCATAGACATTAAATACTTAGAGACAGGAACCGTTGCTGCCGAAGGGACCGCGGAGTTAGATTAAAGTCTTTCAGCTGGGCTGAATCCCCCCCAGCCATGCAGTAGAGGTTAACACAACGCCGCACGCTGGTTAAGCCTTCAGAACGGGGCTTATATGGGACTTAAATGTTCCATAGTCCTTATTCTGCTGCCTGCGCCGGGGGGGATTTAATTCACGTAAACAATGGGAGCCGTTGAGCTTGTAAAATCACAGCTGTCCCGTACATTATGGCTGCAATCACATACCAGCTGTTTCATGTGCGCTGCTGACCGCAGGGACGTGGAGCAGGGGGAGGATGAGGACTGCAGAGGATATGGGCATAAGAGCACAACCGGTTCTCCATGAAACGTTTTTTTTTTCCCCCTCCCGGCCAGGCATTAGTGCCTTTTAAGGCCTGGAGCGGCTGGAGGGGCAGGCTAAATCTGCCGGATCTAATTGAATTAAATAAGCAGCTCCGAAGCCTCTGCAGAGCAAGAGGCCTTTGGGAACTAGCTCCCGGTTTCCTCCTTGAGTGGTTCCAGCTCTCTTGTGTACAGTCAAGGTCTAGGCGCGGTATCCTGGTATGACTTACCATTCCCAGTGGCTCTGCTGAAGGGGTCCTGGTTGCGGTGCCTGAAGGGGACCCATTTGTTGAGGTTTGGAGCCCGTACCAAAGCTCAGGCCCCTTTCAAGTGTCTCAGGCCGGGCTGCCTGTGTAACCCCCAGCTTCTGAGCATTTAGCCCCATAGCTTGTGCCCTACAGCTTTTCCTCGGGCAAGTGGCCCCCTGAACGCAACAGCAAGTTTGTCTGGATGGAGGCGTCTGCGTCACCCTGCAGACCTGCCTGAATTTACGGTGGCTGAATAATCTCACTCCTTTTTGCTCTAGGAGCAGCAACGTGCTGACTCCCGGGGTCTGGGCCTTCCACATCGGCAGCACGTCCCCCCTGGAGAACATCGTTCCAGCTGGCGCCGGCAGGCTGCCTTTGGGGGGGGCCCTGCCCACAGCTCCGGAGAGTGCACCCCGCCACGCCACTGCCGAGCACAACGTCCTGGACGGCGACTACCTGGACGAGGCATTTGCCACTTTCTCCTATGACGAGAACGAAGAGTTCCCGTTCGTGCAGCCGACAGAGGTGGTGGCTGAGTACTATGATGAGCTCGGCATTCCCCTGCACACCGACAGTAACCTTCAGGAACGGGTACAGGAGGGTTTGGAGTTCACTTACAAGTTGCCAGCGCCAGCATCCAGCCATCTCCCATCCTCCCCGGAAGCGCAGCCTGTCCCCTCCCAAGAGCCATCCTCGCTGGAGACGGATGAGGACCTTCTGGAGCTAGTGTCTGTGGAGTCACCAACCTATCGCCAGAGGGAGGATATCGAGGCTTATCCGGATGGCGGTGCTGTACCTGCAGAGACTGACGTCCACCTGGGGTACCCGGAGGGGGAGGTGGTCCTTCAGAGCTACCCAGACAGCCCGCTGCCCTTCCCGCGGGGGCGGCACGTCGTTGGTGTGGATGAAGACGTTAGCTTTAACACTGACGGTAGGTAACCTGGCACCCGGGACCCTGGGAGAAGGGAGAAAGGTCCTACTTGTGGCTGAGGCACTATGTGTGCGATTCAGCCCAAACCTTAGCTTGTGGGCATAGGCATAGCATAGCTCCGTCAGAGGCAGAGGATCCTGCTTCCGTCGGGACCGGCTGGTTTCCAGCTGCGGACGGACAGGGTAGGTTTGGCCCCATAAAGTCCCAAAAGACCAGCCTCTAAGTGAAGCACGAGTGACCCTGAGCCAGATCCCCAGGGCCTTTCAGGGAGCGGTGAGACTGGAGGAGCTCTGCCTGCCTCCAAGCCAGGAGTAGCCTTGGCAGGGTTAAGCCCTCATTAAGGCGCAGAGGGAGAGGGAGAGGGATCGGGGGTGTCAGCCCTGCCACCATCCAAGCTACGATGTGCAGCAGCTGCTAGATAAAGCACATAGGAGGTTGAGGAGCCGTGTGATCGATGGTACCCATACAGTTCTCCATCTGCCCGTGACCCTGAGCACCACGTGGGAGGGGATCAGGAGCATTGGAGCCTGGGGGCACCTTGAGCTGTTCCCCACAGTGCCTGGGGCCGGTAACCGTCCCTTCTCTGACGCACCCGAGAGCTGGCATTGCTGGTGCAGGGCTGGAGCCCCCGTTCTCCTGCCCGGAGCTCAGAGGAATCACCTGGGGCCTGGGGGCACGGCCTGTCTGCAGACCCCCTGTGGGTAGAGGGGATTGCAGGCCCATTACACTGGCTCTTACATGTCCCACGCCCGGGTCTCCGTCATGGTCTTTCTAAGGCTCCTGCCTCTTCCCCAGGGCAGTTCCTTGCCCATGGGCCGATGCAGGTCACATGCCCGTGGTGTTGGCACCCTTGGTCTGGGAACCACCATGGCCCTGAGCAGTGGTTTCCTGCTCTGAGCAAAGACAGCAGGGTTGGCTTCCCATGAAGCCCCCAGGGGTCTTGGCTGCTTGTGGGGCAGTGCATGCAGTGCCAGCCCCCGTGCTCACCCGGGCGGGGGGTGCAGTGTTCACCTACAGCGCCACCAGCCAGGAGACCTGTGAGCAGCACCACAGCCTCTGCTCCCTGCACGCCTTCTGCACCGACTACGCCACCGGCTTTTGCTGCCACTGCCAGACCAAGTTTTACGGGAACGGCCGGCACTGCCTCCCAGAGGGTGAGTCACCGCGGGGGCGGCTCCGGCGTTGGGTCTGGCCTCCCTCGCCCCCCAAGGCTGACCCCGCACTTGCCCCTTGGCAGGCGCGGCACATCGGCTCAATGGCAAAGTCAGCGGGAGCTTGCTGGTGGGGCGGACGCCGGTGCATTTTGCCGACGTGGACCTGCATGCTTACGTGGTGGGCAACGATGGCCGAGCCTACACTGCCATCAGCCGGATCCCGCAGCCGGCAGCCCGTGCCCTGATGCCGCTGACTCCCATCGGGGGCCTTTTCGGCTGGCTCTTTGCTCTGGAGAAGCCGGGCTACGAGAACGGCTTTAGCATCACTGGTAAGTGGGGCACGGTCACTCCGGCAGTCCTGCGCCATGGTGCCAGCCCTGACGGTCACTCTCAGAGTCCAGCAAGCTGCTTTGCTGTGTTTCCTTATGTCGTTTCCTCCCCTCGTGCCAGGTGCCTTCCTGCCCGGTGTGTCCCGGCCCCTGCTTCCCCTCATTCTCCCGTGTCCTTCAAATACCTCCGTGGCTCCAGCATCCTTCCGGCCAGGTCTCCCTGGAGCCCCTGGATGCTGTTCCTGAATAGAAAAGACCTCATCTAGGGCCGTGTCTGCACTGTGCTCCTCCTAGCCAACAGCCCTCTCACCCAGCAGCAGGGAAGCCACATCCCTGTTAATCAGCACTGCTCAGCAATCAACCCTGCTTCAGGCCACGGCAGACCCAGCCCCCTGCTTCCTGCCTGGACAGGCACAGAGGGCCCCAGGGCACTGCTGGGGGGAGTTCACGGGGCAGGCTCAGCACCTCCACGCTCCTCTGGGAAGCAAGAGGACGTGCAGAATCCGTCCCTCCAAATCCACAGAGGACGGGACACCACAGCTGGGTGCATGCCCCCTCCCCGCGATCATTGGCGCGGGTCTGGCTGCCACTCTCCGTGCTGCAATTCTCGGGTCAGAGCTGTGGTGCTCACCTGGATGGGCAGTGCCCAGCCCATCCACAGGCCAGATCCAGCTGATGGTCCTGATCCAGCAACCAGGATGGGCACACCAGGGCCCCGTCTGGCTGCATGGGGCGGTCACTTTGGCATCTCTTTGTAACCTTCCCCGTGTTGCGGTGGGGAGCACGTGATACCCACAGACCGGCCCGTGACACCAGCCTGTGAGGCTGGAAAGTGGCCGTGGGCTCGACAGGACCATTGTGCTGCCCCGTGCTCGCTCGTGCCAGCAGTGGTTGCTGGCATCATCCGGTGTCTGGGGGAGGAGCACCAGGTGCTTCCCTGTCTGCCAGTGCCCTGGGGCTGGCTCTGACTCTCCTTCCTGTGCAGGGGCTGAATTCACCCACAGCCTGGAAGTCACCTTCTACCCTGGGGAGGAGACGGTCCACATCACTCAAACAGCCGAGGGGCTGGGACTAGAAAATTACCTGAGCCTTAGGACTCACATCCAGGGCCGGGTGCCCTATATCCCGGAGAACTTCACTGTCCACATCGCGCCCTACAAGGAGCTCTACCACTACTCCAGCTCAGGTACGGGCTGGGGCTCGACGCCGTGCCTTGCATGTTGTTAGGCTGTACCGTGCACGGTGAATTCAGCAGTGTCCTGCTTTGCTTTGGTCAAATCATCCAGGGTGGCTTGAATTTCAGGCCATTCTCTGCAGAGAAACAGCCTCCTGCGGGGCCCAGGATTGCTCCCTTGTCCACCTCTTGTAGGCAGAAGAGCTGGGTGCACGTGACATCCTTCCGGCTCAGGTGGAAGCCGAGGTGCAAGCAGTCCCTGATCCCTGATCCAGCTCCCTGCAGCCATAGGGTCTTTGCCCTGCAGTTGAACGTCCAGTTTTGCACAACTCAGCAGCCCCTGGACTCTGCCAGTGGTCTGGGCTTCTCTACAGGGGCAGACAAACAGTGCATGGTGGGGTCTGTGGCATGCATTTGTTGGGCTTTGCTGTTGGAAACTGCTGGCCCCACAGACCTGGTGTACCCAAAATCCAGATCTGGGCCCTGGCTGGGATTTTGTAGCTTGAGAGGAGCACGTGTCCTGGCTCCCAGGCTCAGTCTGAAGGCGCTGGGAGCCTCCCTCCTTTGGTGGTGCTGCATGCAGGATTACTAATGCCACCCCTCACTTTCCTGCCCAGCGGGGAGGAGTGTTGACCACACAGCTGCTGGCCCAGCCCCAGGGCCGCTTCTCCAAAAGCTGCTTGGGGCTGCCTGCTGTCTCCAAGGCAAGGGGTATATGCTCTCATCCTGTCTCCCATCCCCATGCAGTTGGTCTCTTCTCATAGTGGTGTGACCGCAGCTGCCTGCTGTCTGGGGCTGTTGCCATCCATGTTAGGAACACGACCAGCCCAGCGGGTCCTTGACCCCTGCCTGTAGCCTCTAGCTGTGGCCTCCAACAATGCAAATGCATTCTCTGACCGCCTCCTCGCTGCCCTTCCACAGCCATAACCTCCACGTCCCACCGGGAATATTCCCTCCTCTTTGGGCATCGCAACAAAACCCTCTCCTACCGACTGCACCAGAACATCACCTTCCAGGACTGCCCACATGCCCGTGCCCGCCAGGCTGTGCCAGCCACACAGCAGCTGAGTGTGGAGCGGGTCTTCGCCCTGTACAATGAGGAGGAGCAGGTGCTGCGCTATGCTGTAACCAACCAGATCGGCTCGGCAGAAGGTGAGCACCGGGGTCCATCCGAGGGCGGGCTAGCTCCCAACTCGCCAGCTGCGGGGTGGGAGCAGAGTAGCCATGGAGCAGCACAGGGGTGGATTTACCCTGCATGTGGGCTCTGTACTGGAGCGAGGATAACCCTGGCAGGAACATGCAGGTGCCCAAGCTGAGCGGGGACCTGGCACTGTGCGGACGTCCTGGCACACGCTGCAGAGCACTGTTCCTGGCACTCCCAGCTCCCCACTTCCCTTGGAAAATGTGTCAAGCCCTTGTTTTGGCTGTGAGCACAGGCCGCCCTCCTGGGACCTCCCTGGTGCGGTGCATGTATTTGCTGGGTGGAGTTTTTTCAGGGCTGTTGCACTGCTCCTGTGGTCCCACATGTCTGGCTAAGCCTGAGCTTTTAGGGTGGATTTCTGCAGCGGGTCCTGTCCAGGGGACCGATCCCCAGTTGAGCTCAGTGCATGGTGGGGTTTACTGGCAGGCATTGGCTGGGCTCTGCTCCTGGAAACTCTGCCGGTCCCACAAAGCGGTGCCAGGTGACCCGGAGCCTCGTAGGGGCATCGCAATGGGGCTTGAGCCTCAGTGCTGAGGTGCAGGAGACTGGCTTGTCTGGTGCTTGGACTTGCAGCCCCTCTCCCTGCTTGCACTGGCCATGCAGCTCAGCCCTGGGGAAGTCCCCATGCTGGGCAGGGAGGGAGCACGGCCTGGGTGCAGAACCACTCGGGGCAGTCGAGCTGTTCCATTCCCTCCTCGCCAAGGGGAACATGTGCCGCATGGCGGGTAGAAAGGAGGGCTGGTATTTTTGCTGTCTGGCCAAAATTGGATGCTGAACCAGTTACTGGAAGTGGTGTGCGCAGGGATGCAGAGGAGGGTTAGCGTGCACATGCTTGCTGCTGTGTGTGCATGCTTGTGTGTGAATGCTCCTGGTTGTGTGTATATATGTACATACATGCATGCTACTGTGTGTGCATACTGCTGTGCATGTTTATGCATGTTTGTGCATGCAGCTGTGTGGGGGTGCACACGTGTGTGCATGCTCTGGTAGGGGTGTGCATGCACGTGTACCTGAAGCCTCCCCGCAGGGAGTGCCTGTCAAACAGCACAGCCGCTTGCTCTGGCGAGGGGTTCCCATTGCTCCCTGAGCGAGGAGATAAGGCCCCCAGCCCTCCCCTAACCCCTCAGTCGGGGCTGAGCCCCCTTCCCCACTGCATTCGCTCCGGCAGGGCAGGGAACAGGAGGGCAGGGCGAGCTGTGGAGGAGGTGGGGCAGCCTGCGGCAGCTGCCGTAACAGAAGCCCTCCCTGCGCCCCCAGCACATCCCGCTCTCCAGGCCCTGGCAGGAAGCGGGGGAAAGCTGTAATTTCCCAGCCAGGATTCTCCTGCTGGCCGGCCGAGTGGGATGGGAGGGAAAGAAAGAGCCTTTTGAGAGCAAAGGGGTGGACGACCCCCGGGAGGGAGATTCCTGGCGCCGACAGCAAGGAACGTGATCCCTGTGGGTCCTCGTGCCAAGCTGGACACCACTGTCTGAGCTTGAGAGCCAGCTGCTGCCCGTGGAGGACAGAGCCAAGCCGGTTTGGCCGTGGGAAGCAGGGGTCGCTCACAGGACCCTCTCTTGCAGGGCTGAATGTGCCCTGTTGTCCGGATGGCCCCTGGCCCAATGCGCTTCAGGCTGTCACGCGTCTAGCACCAACCATGCTGGCTGTCTGCGTCTCGGCTGCATTTGCAGAGCCGTGAGGCAGAGGCTGAAGTCGTGCTCGGATGAGCCAGCAGAGAGAAGACCCACATGTGCCAGGCTGCTGCAGGGGGCCAGACTCTGCCCCTGAATCCCAAGCCTGCCCCTGGTCTGCTCCAGTAGCACAGCGACCCCCTTCTGCCTCCCTCGGGGCCTGCGGCGTTGGGGCTTGGTCCGGCAGAGCCTGCTGGTATCCGGTTGGCGTGCATCTCGCCCCCCGGCATCCCGTTCCTAGCGCTGTTTGCAAGCCATGGGAGATCACTGTCCTCAGGTGCATTGCAGGCTCTGCGGCTCGCATTTCCTTCGGCCACGTACAGCTCTGGGGCCTCGGAGGCTCTGGCGGGACAGACGTGAAGTTGAGTCCCGAGAGGACCCGGGCCCTGGCAGTCTCCCCTCTGCGTCCTGGGACGCTCCCATGCCTTCTGCCGGCTGCCCCTTCGAGCACCCTTGGCTGCGTGGAGCTGCGCAGGGCTGCCGGCAGTGCAGGGATGGGACGGGGTGGCAGCTGGATGCCGCCATGGGTCATTCCTATCTGCAACCAAGAAGTCAGCTCCAGACTCCACAACTCCCTCGTCTTTGCCCTGCCCTGGGAGGCTGAGGGAGACGCGGCCCCAGGCTGCCCCTGCTCCCCCTGCTCTGCAGGGACGTTCCCAGGCACGGTGCACAGCTGCATTGGCCGTGGAGCTGGGGGCGTGGAGCCAGAGTCCACCCCCCGCAGCGCTTCCTGCCTGCGGGGACAGACAGGGCCCGGCTGTCTCCATGTGGGGACCCGGCAGGGGATGACAGCTGCCGCCTCCTCCTCCTCCTCATCCCAGGACCATTGCAGCGCTTTGCTGAAGGCGTCCCAGCAAGCAGGGAGATACGGGTCCATCTTCAGCTTGGGCTGGGGTCTCTGCCACGAGGCACCGGCTCTCCTGGGATCCAGGGTCTGCCCGGGCACGTTTTCCCATTCCCACTGAGCCATGGAAGGGGGTGCCAGCCTGTGCTCAGCTTGGGCTTGCTGGCGAGTCCCTGCCCCTCTGGTCCTCTGCAGCAGGGGCTTAATTTCCACCTGTCTTTTAATCAGGGGCTGCCGGTGTGGCCACACTCATCCCCCACTATCCATAGATCCCACCTCCCCAACCCATCTCAGCCTGACTTTCCAGCCCATCTTGTGCTTTGCAGGGGACTCGGACACAGCTGTAGTGAACCCATGCTATGACGGCACCCACGTGTGTGACACGACGGCGCGGTGCCAGCCGGGCGCGGGGCTGCAGTACAGCTGCGAGTGCACAGCTGGGTACCGCGGCGATGGCCAGGACTGCATGGGTGAGTGCAGACGGCACTGCTCGCGGTGTCCCCCCAGGTTCGGCCCGGCCACGTGGGCAGTGAGGAGCCATCTCAGCATGTGCCTTCCCGCCTGGGCTCAGAGCCACGGGCAAAGCATGGGGAGCCTTGTTCTCTCAGGGAAACTGAGGTGCACAAAGGAAGGTTCGTCCCTGTGGGCCTGGATCAGAAAACGGACCATGCTGCCTTCTCTGTGAACCCTGGTCCCAGCCATCTCTGAGGTGGGGCTGGGGGGTCCCTGCCAGGCCCCGTCCCTGCAACTCGGTTTCTAGCTGAATGTTTCTAGCTCACGATCCAACCTGGGTCCAGGCCTAGGCGTGTCGGAGCAAGCTGGGGCCTCTTGGCACAAGGGGCCAGCCCCGGCAGCATGGCAGCCGGCGCTGGGGTAACCAGGCTCTCCGTCCCTCCTCAGACATCGACGAGTGCGCCGAGGGCGAGAGCCGCTGCGGCCCCTTTTCCGTGTGCCTCAACTCCCTGGGCAGCTACCGCTGCGAGTGCCAGCATGGCTACCGCCTTGCCGACGACCGGCGCACCTGCGTGTGTGAGTATCCTGCCCCGCCTGGCCGGCTGTCCTTGTGCCCACGCCTCGCCAGCCACGGCCCAAGCACCGGGCATCCTCACTTGTCCTGGCACGCTGTGGTGGGAACGGGGCCCTGTCCTTTCAGGGGTGCCTCAGGCCGGGTCCCGCTTGCCCTTGGGGCTGCTCACCGAGGGGGGCCAGAGGCTTGTGAGAAGGGGCAGAGATGGCTTCCCAGCCCCGTCTGACCCTGGCCAGCAGAGAAAGGAGGTAGAGTAGCTGTGGGGCTGCACTGACTTGTCGTGGCCTCCTGAGGTGGGTCATGCCTCAGGGACATCCCTGGCAGACCGAGCCCTCCTTCCTGCTCTGACGGGCCCTTGTGCATGCCAGGGACATGTCCGCCTCAGTGCAGGAAGGGGGAGAGGTGCAGCCTTGCCCAGCCACAGGTGGAGCAGGCTGTCAAGCTCGCAGCCGACTGGGGGGCAGGCTGGTGTTTCCCACCTGGAGGGAAGGAGGTTTCCACAGGCCTGACTTGGTGCCTTCCTCTTGCAGTGGCTGCGCCCCCGCCTGACCCCTGCGCGGCAGGCAGGCACAGCTGTGCGGCCGCAAACCAAGCGCGGTGCATCCCCCGTGGCGGTGGCGCCTTCAGCTGTGAGTGCCTGCCTGGCTACACCGGCGACGGGCACAACTGCTCTGGTACGTGGGGGCCACGGCTTCCTGCCGGGGCATCGTGCTAGGTCGGACACGGGCTGAGCTGCACAGCCCAGCCGGGACCCTGCGCTCTGTCTGGGGACAGAAGCTGCATCCTGCTAAGTGGGCTCTGGGCACCCCCTCATCAGGGTCCTGGGAGCTGAGAGGCAGCTCGACACGTGGGGACCCTCGTGGCAGCTGCATGTGCACAGCGGGGGCTCTTTATTCCCATACACAAGGTCCGGGCAGCTGCACAAGAGCAGTTGATTCCCTTGCCCAGATGCACGGTCCTGCCAGCCTGTCCCAGGGCTTCTCTAGCCTCCCGAGGGGCAGCTGCAATTCCCCCCTTGTCGAATGCACCTTTCCCAGCACTGTGCAACCCCTGGCCCGGTGCCCCAAGCTGCACAACCTGCTGCTCCCCCGCTTCGAGAGCTGCAGCCAGCCTTGTGCAGATGGCAGGGCTGGGGAAAGCAGGCTCTTGGAAGCCGGCCTGGACAGTCTTGTGTTGCGGGGAGGGGCCGGCTTCGCCTCCCACCCCCGAGTCAGTACACTGCCCCCACATCTGGATCGACTGTGTCCAATAGGCTCCCTGTCCTGCCGGGGTCGGGGGGCCCGAGAACAGTGCTCGAGTGTTTGCTGCAGAGCGCGTGTGGGGTGGGATGCATTGCCAGGGTGACCTGTCAGGAATCCGCGGACGCTTCCCAATTCCAGTTTACTGAGCAAATGCGTTGGGGAAGTATCCCTGGGGGCCGGCCCTGCTGTGTAGCTGTGCTCGGAGGCACCCCCTGGTGCTGGGTGAGGCGCCAACCCAGCTCCGCCTGCTGCGAGCACCCAGAGCGAGGGGGGAAATGTCAGTGCAGCGTTTTAGCACCGTGCCTGTGCCCGCCCCTGAACCAGGCAGCGGGTATGGGGGCAAGAGGCAGAGCCTGGGGTGGCAGGTGGGGCACGAGCTCAACTCTGGCCCACTGGGGGGCAGCCTTGTCTACCTTACAGGCTTGCTGCTGCCACAGCTGTGGGGGCGGAGCGGTGGGGGCAGCGCCTCCTAGTGGACATGTGGTGTGTGGTCGCCACTGCTTAGCTCCACCCACTCCCTGAATTAAAGATGCTCAGAGCAAGTGATGGGGGAGTGCGCGGCCTGGCTGGGCTGTGGGGCTGGGTCACACCGAGTCCTGCTGTCACTGCCCGCAGAGGGGTCTTGTCCTCAGACAGTGTCAGGGCTGCTCTGGGTAACCGCGCCATGAGCTTGCGGTGACATGAGCCCGGGCACAGCTTGGGGAGGGGGAAATGGCTCTGTTTCCCTTCTCTGTGCAAGGACTAGGAGGTGGAAGAGGAGCTGGGTGGGAGCTGGGGTCACCCTCTGAACAGCTGGTGAGGCTGTGGCCCCATTCCCTGATGGTCTGCTTTGTCCCATCCTGAATCATAGACAATGAGGGTGTGAAGGGACCTCAGGAGGTCACATCTAGTCCAACCTCCTGCTCCAAGCAGGATCAGCCCCAGCTACATCATCCCAGACAGGGTTTTGTCTAGCCGGGTCTTAAAAACTTCTAAGGATGGAGATACCACCACCTCTCTGCGTAACCTGTTACTGCTTTTCCACCCTCCTAGTAACAGAGTTTTTCCTAATATCCAACCTAAACCGCCCTTGCTGCAACCTGAGCCCACTGCTCCTTGTCCTGTCATCTGCCCCCACTGAGAACAGCCCAGCTCCATCCTCTTTGCAGCCCCCCTGCAGGGAGGTGAAGGCGGCTATTCAGTCCCCCTCGGTCTTCTCTTCTGCAGACTCAATCAGCCCAGCTCCCTCAGCCAGTCATGTGCCCTGGCCCCACGACCATTTTCACTGCCCTGCGCTGGACTCTCTCCCAACTTGTCCACATCCTTTCTGTCATGGGGGCCCCAAAACTGGATGCAGGACTCCAGATGTGGCCTCCCCAGTGCCAAATAGTTGGACCCAGTATTTCTGTATCTCCCGCCTGCCAGATAAGTGCCATTTCCCAGGCTTCCTTCCCACTTAGCAATTCTCCTTGAATCAGCTCCTAACCCTCCCCTTCCCGGTAGGCTGAGTGAGCAGTCCCTTGGCAGAGGCAAGAGCTGTCAAGCAAGACTGGGGCTTACCTAGGAAGCATAGCGTCCCCCTTTCCTGGAAGAGTTAAGCTCTGCCCTGCCCCCACGTGCCCGCAGGCCTGCCATTCAAGGCAGCTCAGGCTGCCGAGTGGATGGTGGGTCTCTAGCGACTGTACACGCATCACGTTTGTGGCTGCAGAAACCCCTTTTGCAGCAGTGTAGGCAGGGAACAGGCACAGGATGTACAGTCCTGCAATGCAGCCTGCTGGAGTCTGGTCCAGAGCAACCCCTGGAAAGAAATGGCACAAAAATCCTCCAGTGAGGATTGTGCCCAGTTATCCCAGCACAGCCATTTGCTTCCCTGGTATAGAGGCACTGGAGTAGTGTCTTCTGCAGCTGTTCTCCCAGGGGAGCTGATTGTGATTTACATCAGGGTATTAGACCAGGGTGTGTTGTACTGGGGCAAACAGGACCCGGCCACACAGCACGTCTCCAGCATTCCCCCTCCTCCAGCCCACAGATGGTTTCTCGCTGTCCGAGGAGCAAGGTTGGGTCTGGTCTGTCAAGGGGCTGGGAGAGAGCAAGGGACCTGCCTTCCTTTAAGGCAGAGCTGGCTGTGGCTGCAGGAGGGGCCACGGGACCAGACAAGGGTGCTCTTGGAGTCGTTCTCTGAGGGTGGGACATAGGGACTTGAGCCCGTGGCTTCCCCAGGAAGGGGGTAGAAATGGAGCATGGTCTCTAGGTCCAGCAGGGCTTCTGCTGCAGAGCCAGGAAGATGCCCCCTCCCCTCATCTCCACCACCCACGAATGCAGTATGCAGCTTCCAGTGCATTCACCTCCCCCCCCCAAAGCACCAGTTGTGTGCCCGTACTGTGGAGCCCTGGCTGTGGCTGCCAGAAGAGCGCGTCCCACACGTGCCCCCTGGTTTCCGGGAGGTGGGGGTCCCGTGCCTGCACCTGCTGACAAACGGGCTTCTCTCCCTCTTGCAGATGTGAATGAATGCACGCAGGGCAGGTGCCACCCGGCCGCCACCTGCCACAACACACCCGGCTCCTTCTCCTGCCAGTGCCGGCCAGGCTACGATGGGGACGGCTTCCAGTGCACCCCTGGTAAGGATCCTCGCATGGGGCATTGTGGCTGGCACCTGCAATGAGCATCTGTGTCTCCTCCTCCCCATCCCGTCTGCCCATGGCCCATACACTTCAGCTGATGCCACCTGCCTTTGGCCCTGTGGCACAAGACACACAGCAGCCTCCCTCAGTAGTGGGTGACAGCCTACTATTGCTGTTTGCAGAGGGAGCTGCTCCTGCAGCTCATGGGGTAGTGGTTTGTGACTGTCACAGAGGCAAAGCACCCTGACAGCCAGGGCCCAGGGCTTCATGCGGATGTTGTCCACCTGACCGCAGCATTTGTAGCACTGTTCGTTGCAACAGCCAGGAGCTGAGATGCAGGTGGCACTCTCAGGTCTGGGCCCAAAGCTTATTAATATGACCTCCTCCATTTCTGCAAAATCCAGGGAAGAAGCGTGGGGCCGAGTGCCCTGTGCAAGGAAGCACAGCTCCTGGCTCCTTGAGCCCATTCCTGCCTCTGCCACTGGCTTCCTATGTGCCCTTGGACACCTCACCTGGCCTCTGTGTGTCTGTTTACCCCTCCACACAAAAGAGGTCACTGGTGAACCCTTGAATACCCTGCTCAGACCGTGCCTGAAGTCCCAGTGCCCCATTGCATCCTCCCCCAGTGCCTGTTCCTCCCATGATAAAGCCCCAGGAGCTGGGAGGCAGACAGAAGCCTCCCCGCTGGTTGTTGCAAGGCTGGATAGGCTGCATGCCCTGTGGCACGGGTCGCTGTACTCCCATGCACCTCCCTTTACTCTGCAGCAAACCTACAGCGCCTGACACCATGCGAACATGAGCGGCTCTATTCGCAGCCGGAGCCAGGGCACCACGTACCCGTGTGCGACGACCAGGGCAACTACCACCCTCTGCAGTGCCACAGCAGCACGGGCTTCTGCTGGTGCGTGGATGAAGCTGGCCAGGAGATCGCTGGCACCCGGACACCTCCAGGCAGCACCCTGCCGCGCTGCGGGGAGCCAGGTCAGTGCCATTCACCCCTCAGCTTCCTGTTGTCCTGGCACAGGTAGTGCTAAGTGCACTCTGATTTCCCTGTGCCCTGAGCCAGACCCTGAGAAGTGGGGAAGGGGCTGCTGAGCTCGAACCCAGAGCCCTCTGCCTCCTTCCCCTGCTTGGAGATTGTCACCCGCTAGGGGGGGCACTGATGTGGGGGTCAGGAGCCTGGTTCTGCCGGGACATCGGGCATGTCTGCTTAGAGCATGAGCTCCTTTGAGTAGGGACTGTCACATGCTACGCATACGTACAGCACCGAGCACCATGGAGCCTCTAGCCACTCTTGTACCTATGAATGATGGAGGGGCCTGTCTGGCTTTTCTCAGCATCAAGCCCATCGTGCCCCTCCACTTCGAGAGAGGATGTCTTGCTAGTCTCGGGGGTGTAGTTGGCACAGGGTTTGGTTGGGAGCACTCTCCTCTCCTGCCAAAACCTCTGGAGCTGGGGTGCTTTGCGGGAGGGAGCTGAGGTCCCTGGTGACCCCCTGAAAGCCTCTGCCCAGACCCTGCCTGAAATCCCAGTGCCTCATTGCTTCCATCTCCGCTGCCCGCCTGTCCCACGATAAAGGCGAAAGGACTTCCCCAAGAGGCGAGAGCCCTCCAGGGGTAAGCAGGGTCCAGGAGGCAGCACCCCATTGGAAGGCACCTGGGGACCTCACACCTGCTGCTGATTTGGCTGCAGCCCCCATTTGATACCATGGGGAACAGGGCTCCTCTGTCTGGAAGATAGGTGCCCTCATCCCCTGGCCACGCTCAGCTCCTCGTCTATTCCCATGGTGCTTTCAGGCCCCTAAAAATGATGGAGTTGGTGCTGGGCAGCATGTCAGCTCTGCTTGCTCCTGGAGCAACAGGTCTGCTGGTCCCTGCAGCCAGCAACGCCCAAGGGAGCGATCTGCCTGGCTTTCCACCCAGCTGCTTTGGCTTCCCCTTGCTAAATGGCCAGGCAGCCATTCACAGCTGGGTCAGCTGGGGCTGGGCTTTGGCACAAGCCTGGAGCAGGCTTTGAACTTCCACCTGGAGGTAGCACAAGATCCCTTAATTGCCATCACTGGACAGACACGTGACCCTGCTCATGGCAACTTGCATGCTTTCAGGGTTGTGCCACATGTGTATCACTGTAGGCTCGAGCATGGCCCTGTGGCTTCCATCTCTCTGCCACCACCAAAGCCACCTGACCCTGCTGCTCTCCTTAATTCATCTCCATTTGCTGTCCAGCTCTTTCCATCAATACAGCTTTCCATGGCTGGCCTTGCTCTAGAAACAGTGGAGCGGGCCAGTCTCCCCCGAGATCAGGCAGAAGGCAGGGTAGGATTTGCACCTTATAGCCTAACCAAGGCGGATGTCTATATATCAGGTAGAAGCCAGCTCGGTGGTACTGCTCTAGGGAGGGGCGTTTTCCACGAAGACCTACCGTGGTCTCGTGTGACCGTGTCCCTGGCAGGCACATTGCAAATACCCCCCATGGCCTTCCCCTGAAGCTGTTGGTTGCTTTGGCCCTCACTCCCCTACAAATCTCTTGCCCTCGACTCTAGAGCCCACGGCAAGGCCGCAGACCATGTGCGAGCGCTGGAGGCAGAGCCTGTTGGACCACTACGGGGGCAGGCCACGGGAGGACCAGTACGTGCCGCAGTGTGACGCGGCCGGCAGCTTCAGCCCACTGCAGTGCCATGGCAACAGTGGCTTCTGCTGGTGCGTGGACGAACACGGCAGAGAGATTCACGGGACACGGTCGGAGCCCGGCACAGCCCCGCCATGTAAGAGCGCCGCGGCGTGCTGGGGGAGGGCTGGCTGCGCGGCACGGGGCTGGAAGGGGTTTACCTGGGCCATTGAGCCCTTGTGTGGGAGGTGCGTTGCGGTTAGACCACAAGTTGTGACCGGCAAAGACCCAGATGCTGCATTCGAGTGCACGTTCTCCTGCAGGCGTGGGACCAGGTTCAGGGCCCGCATGCCCCTGGCGTGGTATCTGGCAGGGCTGTGACGCCTGTGTTTGAACGACAGGTCTCCCCAGCGTGGCCCCTCCCACAGTGCGGCCCTCGCCACGTCCGGACGTGTCCCCACCTGCCACGGGAACTTTCCTGCTGTATGCCCAGGGACACCAGATCGGCTACCTGCCCCTCAACGGCACGCGGCTGCAGAAGGAGGAGGCCAAGACCCTGCTGGCCCTGCATGTAACGTATCGTGGGGGGGGCCGAGCTGCTCGGGCTTGGGAGGGAGAGGCCTGGTGTGCTCTGGGTGGTCTCCGTGGGGCCTGAGCCTGGCCACTTCATCTGAGAGGGGGCATTTGGGAGAGGGAGACATGGCTGCTCTCCCTTGTGTCAGCCAGATCTCTGGTTTGTGGCCAATAACACAGGCTCTCTGGGCCGCTCTAACTCCAGCTAACAAGGCAGCAGGAGCAAAACAACCCAAAGCAAGTCTGCTCGCTGCACAGAGCCCTGATCCTCCCCTGTGAAAGCTCCTGAGTGCCGAGGGAGGGTTCACTCCTGTTTTCCTAGGTTATCTTATTGCCTTTGCCTTGGCCTTGTTTTTAAGTCATTAGCACATCACGGCTGTGCACTTAATGAAGTCGATGTGTAAGTCTCATCCCGGGCAGTCTCCTTTCCTTTAGAGCTGCAGTCCTACCCTGTGGCACCTCAGCAGAGCTCCTCGACCTTGCCTGTGGCTGCAGGAAATGAAAACCATTTTAATGGACAAGAAGAGCCAGCTCGATAGTACGACGAGCCTGCCAGGGCTGGGCAGCACGGAGGGCTTTCCTGAGAGCATCGGCTGAGACAGCATCAGCAGCCGACCCCCCTTTTGCATCTCTTTCCTCCCCTCTTTAGAAAAAAGCCACACGTTCCTGTCTCCCAGAATGAGCCTGTTGGGCTGAGAGTAACCGGGAGCTGGCATGTGACCTCTTGGGGTGCATTTTGGGGTGACAGCCTTCAATAAGGAAGCGAAAACTGGAAGGCCGTTACATGTGCCAGCTTCAATCTAGAAAGCTCTGCTTGGTCCTCCGGGTTTTTAAATACAGCCAAGAGGCAGATGACACAGGGTTGCTTAATTCACACTGCCTCCCACAGGCTCTAAATGAGAAAATACCTTCGCCGTAAAGTAAAACTTACAATCTCTTCTCTTTTTTCTGAATCCCGACAGGGCTCCATAGTGGTGGGAATTGACTATGACTGCAGAGGGAAAATGGTCTATTGGACGGATGTTGCCGGTCGAACGGTTAACAGAGCAAGCTTGGAGCCAGGGGCTGAGCCGGAAACCATAATTAATTCAGGTGAGTGACCATCTCTGCTGGTTTTAATCAGGCTTGTTGCCAGGCAGGCCGTGACTGGGGGTTGAGCTTGCTCGTGGCCTCTCCGAACTGAGGTCTAAGCAGCGTGGGAGTGGGAACACGGCCTTTCTATAAGCGCTGGTCCCAGCTCTCTCTTGGCCATTACCCATCACCACTGCCCGCCAGGGTCTCAGAGGCACTGACAGGGCAGGCCATATAATCAACTAGAGGGGTGGAAAATAGAGATGCTACTACATACGGTAGGTAAGCTTCTTTGGGTAGATGAGATCTCTTTCATTAGACCAACTGAGTCGTTGGACAAAAGTTCTTTACAAGCTTTTGGGCACAAGCACCATTCTTCAGTCATAGGTGCTTGCGCCCGAGAGCTTGCAAATCACGTTTTTTCAGTGCATCCGCCTAATAAAAGATATCACATCTACCCATCTGCCTGTGTCCTTAGACCAATGTGGCTACAACCAAAAACTCTACTACATAATGGCTGAACAGGCATAGGGGAGGTTTACAGCCACAGGGCCAACTCTTCCTGTAGCCTGTGCGGTGACAGGGCTCCTCTTGTCATGTTCCTGCAGGACTGATGAGTCCAGAAGGGCTGGTGGTGGATCACCTGCGCAGGGTCATGTTTTGGACAGATAGCGGCCTGGATAAAATCGAACGTGCCAACCTGGATGGGTCGCAGCGCAGGGCTCTCTTCAGCACCGATCTTGTCAATCCTCGTGCCATCACTGTGGATCCCATTAGAGGGTGAGCAACAGGGCTTCCTCTCAGCTTTTTCAAAGCCTGTCTTTATGGCAGCAGGGGAGAGGGGACCCAGAGACTCACCTCTGTGGCAGGTGACTGGTAAATCTGTAATCGGAGCTGAAACTTCAGAAGCAAGACGCACTTGTTTTCGCCACCACTGCAGGTGTCATGTTGGAAGCTGTCAGGCAGATAGCATACTGTCATTTTTACCACATTGAGAGCTCAGTGGGATGAAGCCAGTAGTAAGGACTGTGTCCTGTTTGCTTGAATGTTTTCACAGCTGGAAGGGCACTGCTGAATTAGTGATCTGAATCCTTCTAGTGTGAAGTGCAGCCCTGTAGTCATTTATTACAGTAGAGCTGGAAAAGCGATCAACACTTTGTGCATGGGAAAATGGAAGGGTTTTGTGCACGGTTCTACTCATCAGGAGTTGGCCAGCAAGGTGCTTTTGCTTTAAACAATAAACACCAGCTCAGCTGCAAGGGAAGTAGAAACAGCGGACACTGCTGAATTACATCTGAAGCCAAGTATCTTTGAACTTCGAGTGGCATCAGCTGGAGTAGCTTGCCTGGAAAGTTAGTCTCAGTGTCTCCGTGGTCAGAGATAGAGGCATACCTTTGCCCTATATTTTTTTCCTCTGATCATTCAGCAGGAAACCCTTCAAAAAAAAAAAGGTAAAATGTTAAAATGTTCAGCTTTTGAACCCTCTGTTGCCTCTGATATATCCCCTGAGTGTACCACTGCAATGTAGAAAACACCACCAGGAGAGTAACGGATGAGTCCTTATCTCACCTTGTAAAATGTTCCTGAGATCCCTCAGGCTTTCCTTTTTAGTTTCAAAATGGAAAATAATCTGTTCTGTAAAGCATAATGAGAGGTCCAGGACTCATCTCTCAAGTAGTAATCCCCGTGTTTTCCAAGTGACTCATTTTACTGTGTCTTGTTCTCTTGCTTGTTAAATGGTTCCCCTATAGCAACCTCTACTGGACAGACTGGAATCGCGAAGCACCAAAAATTGAAACCTCAACGGTTGAGGGTGCCAACAGAAGGATTCTGGTGAATGAAGACATCGGGTTACCCAATGGCCTGACTTTCGACCCTTTCTCCAAACTGCTTTGTTGGGCAGATGCAGGTGACTTGAGTTAACGCGCATTGAAATGCACACAAATACACTAGGCAGGGAAGGGAATTCAGATCTAAAAAAAATACCACTCCCTACTTCTTGCTGTATCCCACCTCTTAAAAAGGGAAATCTCTTCAACCCTTACTTTACTAAAAATGAATATTTTCAGCTTTCTCAGGCAATCTCCTCCCCCACCCTTAAATGCATGCCTTCAGCAATTTCTCCAGCCTCTTAGGGTAGGGCTGTACAGTGCTGCACTCAGTCATGTCCGTTAGCTGGCCTGCATCTACTAACACTGCCTCTGGCCAGCTCTCCTTTGCCACAAGTGCAGCTTTAGCTATTCAACAGATTCCCTGATTAAGCACGTCAGATGTGACAGAATTAGAGCAATGATGAGAATAATGATATAAAGCAAAAGGCCCCTTGCTCTGCACCCTGCAATGGGGATGTGACTGCTGGTCTGACATGGAGAATCAGTGTTTTTTTTTCCAAGGACAAGTGAAATAATATAAACTCCTAAAATCAGAACTGCAGGAACGTGTCAATGTGTAGATTCTACACAAACTTTTCTTGCTTGAGGTGCTTAAGTGCTACATGCTGCTTTGCTGGAATAACATCTTAGTATTGCAGTATCTGATAGCTGCTAAGGCTGCTCCGCCACAGGTACTTAGAGGCAGTTGCTGCACTAGGGAAATTCTTACCAAGTCAGTCTCCGTATTACTGTCTGAAGATAGGCATTTTTCTGTACAGGTGCCAGCATTTATGGAAAATGCCTGGCAGAGATGCCATGGTCGCAGGTTCAATCCTCATTTGGGACACAAGACCTTTCTTGTCTCAGGCAGGGGATTGGATTAAATGACTTCTTGAGGTCCTTTCCAGCCCCACTTCTCTGCTTTCTATGATTTTGCATTGAGCTGAACTGTTTAGGTCTAAGATTAAAGTCTGCATGAACCTTTCATTTAATTGACATTTATAATCAGGAACGCAGATAGAGGGATACGAACAAAACTCAGAACAGGCTCAAGGAGGAATTGCTTCACTTGACCTCCACAGAGCAGTGAGGAGCATGCACACATACCCAAACTGGGACTTCACTTCTGCACCAGATGTGCCAGATGATTTGTGCAGGTAGTTTTGTCAGCTTTGCTCAGCTGAATTCCTGCCTTCCCGCAGTACAAGCTGGGCATCCTTCAGGAGTGCAGCTGGGAGACTAAGCTACTGCTCGTGGCTTTTCTGACTAAGGTCTGTTTGCATGGAGTACTGTGGGCCACCTCACCTCCAGAAGACTGCATGGAAACTAGCCTGCCTTGTGTTTTGCCTGATGTAATGTTTTATTTGAAAAGGAACCAAGAAGCTGGAGTGCATGTTGCCAGATGGAACAGGAAGGCATGTCATACAGAATAACCTCAACTACCCCTTCAGTGTCGTTAGCTATGCCAACCACTTCTACCACACCGACTGGAGAAGGTAGGCAACACGCTGGTAAAGAGCAGCCAAATATTTAGTGGCCAAATATTTAGTGACAAAATACCTGCTAGTCCTATTTTAGCCATAATGCATCCTTGGATTGTCAGGGCCAACATTTTTGGCAGACATGCCACAAACCAGCCCAGCACACTCCCCAAAGGACACTCATTCTATTCCCTTACCGGATCTGCTGCTCTGCTTTGTGACGTGTGCTCTCCGCCCTAGCTGCTGTTCTGCTGCCTGTCCCTGCCACAATTTGCTGGTGCCACATAGACTACCCATGCTCTTACAGCTGTGCAGCTGTCAGGTTTGGAATGGTACAAGGGAATTTGAGGGAGGAGCAGACTATGAGACTCATTTCCTGATGGGGGGGGGGGGGGAA